TTTTTTTTTTTTTTTTTTTTTTGAGAAAGGGGCTCCCGAACTATTTCCTTGGGCTAGCTTTGAACCATTACAGGTGTGAACCACCGGCACCTGGCTAAAATATTTAATTTTTTTTTGATGAAACATGAATAGATGTTAAAATGAAAGTTGATAGACTCTTAATCAAAGCACAGTCTAAATTCTTAGTAGTTTATAGAGATAATATTTTCATATTCTAGCTATTCATTATTTTCAAATCAGTAAGATCAGAAAGATGTAACTTAATGGTTTGTAATTCTAGTTAAGAGAAGGCTAAAAGACTTGTACCTTAACATAGAAATCCTTAAATATGTTCTGATACCATCAGCAAAGGCTATGAAATTCCTCCAGTGCTGCCTCAAAGGATCTTCTGGGAAAATAGGGTGGGCCCTATACCATTTGTATAGGTAACTTTGTAACTTCGATTAGAAACCTGTAAGACACTTGTTCCTTGAGGGACTGAACATGATGCTTTTGGCTGTACCTCAGTTTTTAATTCTTAAAAAAACTCAAACGTGGGCTGGAGGAGTGCTTCAAGCCATGGAGCACCCACCTAGGAAGTACCAAGCCCTGAGTTCAAACCTAATAGGGGCGTGGGGGGAATGGGGACTCAAACATGCTGATTCTTTTGTTTAAAAAATTTTCAGTTTAATGGTGAGTTAGTAACAAACAAATATACAAAATTGACATTCACATTTCCATGCATTGTATTATGGACCAGTTGAAAATTCTAAACTATACAAGCAGGTTTTTGTATCCGTAATTTCAGTTACTGCCACATAAACATGATTTGCAAAAACAGTTTTTCACTTTCTATCAGACTGTTGAAGATAAGTTATGATTTTGGCCTTGAGGGGAAAAACTCATTCTCAAAGCAGTGTGAATATGAATTTGCACAAACTTTCTGGAGACAAATTATGTAGTATACAGCCAAAATTCAAAAGTGTTCTTCACCTGCACAAATTTGAACTTGGACTGAATTTTTTATTTTTATTTATTTTGGGGGGGGCACGGTAGTGGGGATTCAACACAGGGCCTTACGTTTACTAGGTAAGTGTTCTAACATGGATGCTAAATATTTGATACTTGATAGTAATGATGTTAAACCTCTTGGGAGTGAAAATAATATGGAATAATACAGGAAATGTACTTACTTTTTAGGTTCACCAAAGTACTTAGGGGTCAATGATGTGATATCTGTAGTTTACCTTTAAAAGTGTAAACAAATATGCCAAAATACTGTTAAGTCTACTTTATGAGCATACCTATGACAGCTCATCATGCTGTCTCTCTTCTACATGTTAGGGTTTTTTTTTTTGTTTTTTTAAGAAAATGTTTAAAATAAAGCTGGCGCCTGTGGTTCAAGATGGGATGGCTCACGTCTGTAATCCTAGCTACTTGGGAGGCAGAGATCAGGAGGATCGAGGTTCCAAGCCAACCTGGACAAATAGTTCGCAAGACCTTATCTGGAAAAACCCTGCACAAAAAAGGGCTGGCGGAGTGGCTCGAAGTGTAGGCCCTAAGTTCAAACCCCAGTACCGGGAAAAAGAAAAATGCTTTCAGTTAAGTACTGTTTTCCCCTCTCGCGGGAAGACTAAATTTGTCTAACATCTGTCTCACCCGTGAAATTAACCAAGAGTGTCTACACAAGCTTGAGAGCAGCTGCCCAGCAAGGCCGGTACGCTGACACACCGGGACACCCCAACTGGGTCGCGCTTACGCGAGCCAGGCGAGGGAACCAGGAGGACCGGAACCAAGCCGGCAGCGCTCTGCGCCCCGCCTCAGCGCGCCTGCGCAGGAGGAGCGGCGAGCCCCCCGCCCCCCCGGGGCGGAAGTGAGGGCGCCCCGAGTCACGTCGCCGCGGGCGGAGGCGCGGCGGGGCGGGGCGGCGCGGACGTGCTGCCGCGTACTGTTCGGCTGGAAGGGCGGCGGCGCGTGTGTGCGCAGCCTGCGCCGCGGCCCGCGCGGGTTCCGACTGGTGCATGCCTCTCCCTGGCCGGACCGGGAGGCCGGCGTCTGCGAGGACGCGGCGGTGGAGGCGAAGGGCAGCCGGAGGCCGGCCGGACTCCTCTCTCAGAGGCTGGACGACTCCGGCTCCGCGGAGGTCGCCGCTCAGCCGGCGGCGGGCATCATGGCATCGCTGGCCGACCGAGTACGGGGCAATGGGAGGAATCGCCGCCGGGCTCCTGTTCAACCTGCTGGTGTCCATCTGCATCGTGTTCCTCAACAAGTGGATCTATGTGCACCATGGCTTCCCTAACATGAGCCTGACCCTGGTGCACTTCGTGGTCACCTGGCTGGGCTTGTACATCTGCCAGAAGCTGGACATCTTTGCCCCCAAAAGTCTGCAGCCCTCCAAGCTCCTCCTCCTGGCCCTCAGCTTCTGTGGCTTTGTGGTCTTCACCAACCTTTCTCTGCAGAACAACACGATAGGCACCTATCAGCTGGCCAAGGCCATGACCACGCCGGTGATCATAGCCATCCAGACCTTCTGCTATCAGAAAAGCTTCTCCACCAGGATACGGCTCACGCTGGTGAGTAGCGCCAGCTGACCCCGTTGTCCCTCGCCACCCGCCTCGCGGACGTTCTGTCCCCGGGAAGTTCGAATGCACGGTTGCTTGACCTTGCGTCACGCTCTTCCCCATCATTTGAATCCACCTTTGAGTCATGCTCTGCGAGCACGTGAACTTCAGGCTTATTTGGGGGACCAGGAAAAGCCAACTTGGCATTCCGTTGGTCTCTTGGCCCAGAATGGGCTTGTGTAGGTTTTAGCAATGGAAAACTTTAAATGTTGTGATTTGCTAAGAAAAGCAAGATGAATTAGGTGGTGCAATCCAAAGTATCCGAAACATCTAGAAAAACTCAAACTGGTAACAGCCCTCCTCGGGTGAATCAAACTACGTGTGATAATCATAAAAAGGCTTAACATAAAATGTCTCAGAATTTGTCTGCATCTTCAAATAAAAGGAAGCTCACTAAAATGAGTTTAGCATTTAGGAACTTGTAATGATTGAGATCTTAGTATTTTCGTTGTGTTTGTGCATATATGTTTAGAGACTTACCTGTGCATGCATAGGTGTTTTCTTGCAAAGCACAAATGCATGGACATATTATTTTTCCACAAATTTAAAGTATAGTTATATGTGAGTATCAATATGGAGTTATCACATTTCAAATTTAGGATTAACAATCAGTTTCCCAAGTGAAAAAAATTATACGGTATACAACTCATTGTTTCCAAGTTATGTGTTGTTTATAATTAGCCTTGAAAGACACCGTGAAAGGAATAATAAATTTGTTTTCTTGAATTTAATCTGAACAGCATTTACCTCTTTTTCTTTTCAGATTCCTATAACTTTAGGTGTAATCCTAAATTCTTATTACGATGTGAAGTTTAATTTCCTTGGAATGGTGTTTGCTGCTCTGGGTGTTTTAGTTACATCCCTTTATCAAGTGGTTGGTAATTTTTTTTCTTTATGTGCCTTTTTAGCAGATTTCATAGATTTTGAAGCTGTATCCCAAGGTTTAGAAAATACAGTATAGAGACAATAGACTGTTGGGAAGAAAGCATAATTGCATAAATGTCTGACTCCAGGTGAAGAGGAGAAAGGAGACAGAAACTTGGTGTGTGATGCTCACCAAATACCTACCTGTTTGTAAGTGTATGATACCCATGCTTAACAGTCTGGGTTTGGGGCAAAGTTGCATTATTTTCTGGGAAATCTTCACAAAATGAATAGTAAGACTTTTTACTTCCTAAGTTTATTGGTTATATTTATCATTTAGTCTTTAATTGTGAAGTTACCATAAAGAAGGAGTGTACTTTCAGAAATTTGAAAAAGGAAGAAAAATTTTGCAATTACAGATTTTTTTTTGCTTCAAAAAATATGCTGCTGTTACAACTTGTCTGATTTATGTAAATCACTATTTTATAGCAATAGGTTTTTTTATTTCTTATGTAAGCATGGTGCCTTGCCTATAGCCAGAATTCATTAAAAATTTGTTCAGGGATTCACTTCATTATCATAAATCTCAACAAGTATTTTTTGTTTCTTATGTAGTGGGAGACAATATCTCCATGTAGGGTTCTGTGAAACAGTATTTTCTCTATACTGAAAACCTTGGTCTGGAAATTCTGGGTGTGCCTGCATGGGGAATCAAAGCCAAAATGTGTAAGCAATTTTACTTTTTCACAAACATAAACTGTTTAGAAAAGAAGGCATCCTTGTTAGGAATGTTAGCTGTTCCTTAACACAGCCCTAGAAACTTAAATGCCATTTTAGAAACATTGTTACAGAAAAATACTACCCTCTTGAATATTTTATTTTTTGTGTGTTTTTTTTTTTTTCCTTACAGTGCTGGGGCTGGAACACAGGGCCTCCCTGCACATTAAGCAGCACTCTACCACTGAGCTAAATCCCACCCCCTCCTTTTCATCTTATTTTGAGACAGGCTCTTAATAAATGGCTGGAGGTGGCCTTGAACTTGTGATCCTCCTGCCTCAACCTCCCAAGCAGCTGAAATTATAAGCATGAAATTCTATGCCCAGCTTATTTGTTGAGTATCGGAATTTTTTTCATTGTTATTGTTTTAAGACGATCTTGCTATGTAGCCCAGGCTGGCCTTAAACTCAAGATCATCCCTTCTTCCACCTCCCAGGTGCCAGGATTGCAGGTAATCCAGGATTGCCCCATCACGCTTGGCTTAAGTACGGGAATTTCTTGTACTTCTTATACATAAATTCAGTCCACAGTACTCACTGTGTCAGTATGATCATTTTTGTTCACACAAGTCTCATAACTGCTATAAATTAGAATCAAGGAATTTTATATGCCTAAGGTAGATATTTGAAATGAGATTGACCAAAAATGACTGTAGACTGACTAAGGTTCTATTATCAATAAACAGTTAAGTTACTATGACAGGATAGATAGATTCCCGCCCCCCCCCCCCCAAAAATACCCTTTAAGGAAAGTTGTGTCTGCCCGTTGTATTCCAGTGGAGTCTAAGTTACTTCTTCTTACACTGTTGAGGAAGTCATTAGCTATTTATTTGCTTTAGTTGCAGAAAGATAGTTGATTCATTCAGCACACATTGTTTCTTTATGCTTATCTTTGAGGATACACAAATGAAAAGCAGCTACAATCCAGCATTACAGATGTACATGTAGACAACTAGTCACAGTAGTATACCTTGGGATATAAAGAAGTTCTGAGGAGCACCGAGGAAAAAGTGAAGTTCTGCATTGCGTGTGCGTGTGTGTGTAGTGGAGGGAGAGGGTGATGAGCAGAGACTTGAAGGAAAGTTAACAGTTTAAGCCAAAGGATGTTGCAAGTATTGGTTACTCATGCCTGTAATCCTAGTTACTTAGGAGGCTGAGATTGGGAGGATCGAGTTTCGAGGCTAGCCCGAGCATTTAGTCTGAGAGACCCTGTCTCCAAAATACCCAGAGCAAAATGGACTGGAGGTGTGGCTCCTGAATCCCTGAGTTCAAACCCCAGTCCCACCAAAAAAAAAAAAAAACACTAAAGGAGGCATAAGAGTTTACTCAGTTGTAAAATCTCCACATCTTCTGTTGAAATATGTATGAAAGTACAGCTTATTTTGGAGCATTTAGTTTTCTCCTGAAGGCTAGACTCTAGTACATTGTGGCAAGACAAGGCCGAGGAGTAGCTAAGACCAGATGTCAGAATCTTGATGTCATGCTGAGGTGTCTTTATTTTGCATGCACCAGGAGAGGAGCTTACATTGGGAAGTGACTTGATCATTTCCTATGTTTAAGAAAAAGTAACTGGTGGCCATGAAGAGTAAAATAAGAGAGAGGAGAAAGGGCAACCATCACAGAAGCTAGGAACGTCTCTGTGCTTTCAGGAGAAAGCAGCAAGGGCCTAGTCTCAGGCAGTGGTGTGTACTTGGAAAGGTGAAAGACCTTTGGGAGGAAGAATTAATAGTACCTGACTCTGTGAGAGTGAGGGAAGTAAGGAGTCGGACTCTTGGCGGGGATGATAGCACTGTTGGAGTGCCTCGAGAGGAGCTCATTTATAGAGGAAGGATTTTGTTTTTAAACACGTTCTGCAAGCTAAGTGAACATGGCCAGGAAACTGTAGAAGGTAAGATGTTAATGACACAGGCTCAGGGAATAGTAGCTCAGTGGTAGAGTGCTTACCTGGCATGCGTGAGGCTCTGGGTTCCAATCCCAGTACCATGGGGTGGGGGGAGACTCTAGGAAGGAGGTCAGAACTACAGATGTGAGCAGGACGTGGAGGTGATGGTATGTTCTAGAAGGGCATCAGAGGTGTGGCAGGCAGAAGCCAGGATGCACTGAAGTGAGGGACAGTGAGGCCCACAGTCCAGGCGTTTTTGTCGTGGAGGAGGGGAGGCTCCCAGCTGCCTAGTGAGGCTACAGCAGGACACAGGTGGAGTGTGCACTCTGCATCCATCCATTTTTGCTCACTGCTCTGCCCCCAGGAATAGGCAGCAGAAGAATCAATTCTTTGTCCTTCATATTCACAGAAGACTCTTAGTTACAGCTGGCAGGAGTATGCTTCACATTTCCTGCTTTTCTATTTTTGTACTGGTGAGTTTCTGTAGACTTAGTGTATGTAACAGAATAGCCAGAGCTACAGGGAAAAAGGTAGTGGAAGGCATTCAGATCTTACTCTGACAAGGAGCATTTTTCAAAGCCTCCCTTGCAGTCAAGCATCTTGAGGATTGGTAGGATTTGAGGTTTTGAAGTAGTGGTCTTACTGAAGGATACAGTGTTTGGGGTTTATTACCTAGTGTACCTAGGGTTTACTGGTGGGAGTCGGGGGAATAGTGTCCACAGAAAGGTCCATTCATAGAAGAAAATTGCCTCTACCATTAAGTTCCTAAAGTATCTAGGAACCACACATCCCTTTTAAGCTGCACCCATGGTAGCCATGTTGAAATAACCAGTTAATCTGTCAGTCTCCTGACCTGCCCCTCAATCTTTTTTCTTTTTTGGCCATTTTTAGAAAGAAAAGAGATCTAGCACTGCATCTATATCCTGCTTAGATCACCTAAATTTCCATTCCCTCCTTATTTTCCCAATAACCCTCATGCGTGTGGGCCCCTCAATGAGTTTACTTTTTCCTACTTAGTACATCAGGAAAGTAGAGAGGATTTTCCCCCTCGTACGGAACTGAGAAGAAAATAATTATGAGATACTGAGTTTTTAAAGCTCATTTAATCCAGGGTGCATAAAGGGCATTCATATATCTTACTGGTGTCTGAAGTCTTGTAAAGAAGGCATTTCCTCTCCTCCAGCCTGCACCCCACCTCTCCATCTCTGTGGCTAGCGGCATGTTTAATTAGGTGATGTTTTTCCTTTGCACTTGACTTATTTTATCTCCTAATTTTCAGTGGGTGGGAGCCAAACAGCATGAATTGCAAGTCAACTCAATGCAGCTGCTGTACTACCAGGCTCCAATGTCATCGGCCATGCTGCTCATTGCTGTGCCCTTCTTTGAGCCAGTGTTTGGAGAGGGGGGAATATTTGGTCCCTGGTCACTTTCTGCTTTGGTAAGTTCTGTTTGGTGTCGATAATAACTCCTCCAGTATTAATGCGGTTTTTAGTTTTCAGAGATCTAGTTCAGATCCATTCTTATGTTTATTCCTCATAATTACCCTTTATGGAAGGCTTAAAAGGTAAGGATAATTTTTCAGATGATAAAACATGCTACAGAAAAGTAACAGGACCTGCCTAAGGTTAAATCAGAGGCAAAACCAGGACAGCAGTTCAGATCTGATGCCTGGTGACTGTTCTGACCATGCCAAACTGTAGTCTGCAAGTTGTTTGGGCATTTTGTCTTAATTTTATTATTTTAACCATGAAAATATAGCTTCATTTGGCTTGTTTTAAAATAAATAGTATGTTCTCACTGTAAACATTATGAACATACATTAAAAAATGAAGAAAATGAAGGCTCCCTGGAAGTCCATCGTGCTATGTGTTATCTTTACATTACCTTAATGTTTTGGTAATGATCATTTCATGGATCTCTCTTTTTTTTTGGCAGTTCTGGGGTTTGAACACAGGGCCTCACACTTGCTAGGCAGGCACTCTACCACTTGATCCACTCCACCAACCTATGGATCTCTTTCTTATATACACGTGTGTGTGTGTGTGTGTGTGTGTGTGTGTGTGTGTGTGTGTGTGTGTGTGTTTATATAGTGGAATCATGTGGTTTTTATCCTGGATTCCCATTCATGCGCACTTCAGTATCTATTACCCCATCTGTGCCTCCTAAAGTAAATCATGCTTGCTGGGCACCAGTGGCTCATGCCTGTAATCTTAGCTACTTGGGAGGCTGAGATCGGGAGGATCAAGATGTGAGACCAGCCCAGGCTGGCCGCCAACCCCAAAATAACCAGAGCAAAATGGACTGGAGGTGTGGCTCAAGTGCACCTGCTTTGCAGGCCTGAAGCCCTGAGTTCAAACCCCAGTCCCACCAAAAAAAAAAAAGTAGCCAGGTACTGGTGGCTTGCCCCTGTAATCCTAGCTACATGGGAGACAGAGATCAGGAGGATCGAGGCTCGAAGCCAGCCCAAGTAAATAGTTTGCAAGACCCTATTTTGAAAATACCTAACACAAAAAAAGGGCTGGTGGAGTAGCTCAAGGTATAGGCCCTGATTTAAGACCCTGTACCACAAAAAAAAAAAAAAAAAAAAGTAAATCATGCTCACATTCTAGCATTTGTTCTTTCATAGTTTCATCCTTGCTACATGTACCCACATAAACACACAAACATGAATTAAACATTTTGTTTTTGATAAAAGTGGGATCATATGCTTTTTAAAAATTAAATCCAGGGCCTCACTCAGGGTAAGCAGGAGCTGTACCACTGAGGCACACCCTTACCCCTTACACATGTCTTTCTGTGTTGCTTTTCTCAGTGTCTGTATAATAGACCCTTTTGGGTATTCACTTTTTTTCCTGTTCTTTAACACTGGCAGCAGTGATATGATGACCATCCTTGTATGTGTCCTCATGTACTGATGATCCCCTACCCCCATGGAACAGAGTGGAACGGATTGATGAAAAGTATGTGCACTTTGGGGACTTTAAGTAAGAAAGTAAAATCCCCTTTGTCTTGGTCAACTCAGGCTGCTATTACAGAATCACCAGGGACTGGGTGGCTTGAACAGCACATGCTTACCTTTCCATTCTGGAGGCTGGTAGTCTGCGACTGGGAAGCCTGCGTGGTTGTGATCTTGGTGAGGGCCACTCTCTGTTCACAGTAGAGAGAGAGAAGCAAGCTCTCTCATATCTCTTATTCTAAGGGTGCTACTCCCATTCATGAGGGTTCTACACTCTGACTTAGTCACCTCCTAATGTCATCATGTTAAGGGTTAAGATTTCAATGTAAAAATTTCAGGACAACACAAACACCTTTCTTACGATGAATTTATTCTTCCTATAACTATAACTTTTGGAACACAGTCAGTGGGAGTGTCTTTTTGTTGATACTGTTTGTTTATCAAACACTATGTAGCCCTTACTCTGTTTCAGGCGCTATTTAAAGTACTTAGCAAATATTAACTCCTCATAACTTTATTAGATTAATGTTGGTATTTTTTACTGATGAGGAAACAGAGACAGAGTTAAGTAACTGCCCCAAGATCCCAATAAGCATTAGAATTTGAATCCATGCATTCTTACTCCAAAGTCTGTATTTTTCTTTTTCCCCAATGCTAGGAATTGAGCCCAGGTCTCATGAATGCTAGGCAAGTGTTCTGTGACCAAACTAAACACCCAGCATCCTCTCCCCTACGACCTTCTTTTTTTGAGATGGAGGTCTCACTGTGTTTCCCTGCTAGCCTTAAACTCCTTGGCTCAAGTGATCCTCCCATTTTATTCTCCCAAGTAGCTGGGATTTCATGTGTACACACCACCTCATATAAACCATTGACTTTGGCATATAGGTTGTCTTTTTTTTTTTTGCAGTGCTGGGGATTAAACCCAGGGCCTTGTACATGCTAGGCAAGTGCTCTACCACTGAGCTACAAAATCATGGCCATCTGGATTATTTGCTCTTCAACCATTGTAATGTGGACACCAGAATCTGAGAGAGGTTTTTTGCAATAGCCCTCTGACAGGTTCAAAACACAGGAAAATGACAGAAAAGCCCTAAAAAACTCAAGGACAGTAAGCGCACAGCAGCATGAGGCCATTTAGTGTAAGGAAAAGTCACCTTCATTCACTAGTGACCCTAGGGGGCATTGCTGAGTCATCTTTTAATGATGTGCCAAGTTACCACAAATAGGTATGTGATATTCTATGAGCTCAGTCAAATTAAACACTGATACATTTTATATATTTTTAGAAATAGATTTTGAAATCTTAAGTCTCTCTTATTTGGCTGTTTAACAGACATCACTGTTGTAAAACAAATGTGGTATTACTATATTTACCTAAATAGAGCTCCTGAACCTCTTATGATTGCCTTTATTTAAAAACCAATAAAACCTACAATGACATGGAAAGTATCTTCAAATGGGATGTTTTCCTTGGGATTTTATTTATTTATTTATTTATTGGCAATACAGGGAATTGCCCTCAGGGCCTCATACTTGCTAGGCAAGCACTCTACCACTTAAGTCCCCAGTCCTTTTGGTTTTTCAGGGGTGTTTTTTAGGAGGGGTCCTGCTATTCTCCTGTCTCCACCTCGCGAGTAGCTGGAATGGCCCAGCCCAAAAGTTAAACTTTTCTTAATAATTTAACTCATAACTGATACTTCATCTAGATACTCTTCATAGATAGAGAGTGATTTTTATAATTTTTAAAATAAAGTTGTGGGATGGGGTTGAACAGAATGTTGTGTGTATACAGTAATACAGTCTAGTTTTCCTATCCTCAACGAAGTTGGTTTATTCTTTGTCACAGGAACAAGCTCTGTACTCCCATGACTCCACACTTTGACCTCTACTGTCCCTCTGCTTGGAACACTCCTGCCTCTTCTTTCTTTAATTTGTACAGGCTTTTGAGATCCAAAGACTTTTCTCTGTCCCATCCCAGAGTGACTTCTTCTTGTGGAACGTATTGTCTCTTTGCCTACCAATAAAGAAAAATTCAAGACTTGTTTTCTTTCGTGGCTGAGCTGTAAATATTATATTGTACTTTCTCTCATAAATTTTATGTGATTGAGAGGTAATATAGCAGAGTGGGTGAACAAGGACTTCCAAACTAGACTCCTGTTTTCTTGTCTTTTTTTTTTTTTTTTGACAGTACTGGGGTTTAAAGTCAGGGCCCCATACTTGCTAGCTTGCTAGGCAGGCACTTTACCACTTGAGCCAAACCCCTAGCCTTTTTTGCATTGGTTATTTCTGAGATTGTTATGCTTTATGCTTAGGCCAGCGTGGACCAAGATCCTACTATTTTTGTTTCCCTGTGTAGCTGGAATCACAGGCATGCACTACCATAACCAGCCATTGGTTGAGATGGGGTCTCGAGAACTTTCTGCCCAGGCTGGCCTCCAATTGCAATCCTCCTGGTCTTTGCCTTCCAAGTAGCTAAGATTACAGACTTAAGCCACCATGCCCAGCCTTGATTCAATTTAAATAAGAATAAAAATAAATATTTTGGAAAAGGATCTGGTATGATGGTTGGGATTATAAGAATTCCTTATACTTTTTTGCTTGTCTTTATTTTCTGATTTTCCTATAATACATATGTATCACTAATAAGAACTTGGGCATGGTGGTACATGCCTGTAATCTCGGTTACTTAGGAGGCTGAGGTAGGAGGATTCTTTGAGTCCAGGGGTTTGAAGCCAGCCTGGGCAACATAGCAAGACTGTGTCTCAAAAAAAAAATAATAATTACTACAAAATATTTCTTCCCTAAATGAATAAGAAAAATGAATGTAGAAATTCACATTTAAAGACAAGTAGTTATTGCAGAATTGTCTATTGATTCTTGTGGATGGTTACATTTTTTAACACTTCATTCTGCCCATTTATTTTCAAATTCTTGCTGTTTCCCCAGTTGTTTCTCTTTTTAAAATCTTGTTTCTAAAGGTTGGTAATTGAATTTTTAAATGCCTAGTGGACTGTATTTTCCCATGACTGTAATCACTGCGCTGCTTTGCATTAATGATTCTCTTGGTTTATTTGTAGCTTATGGTGCTGCTATCTGGAGTCATAGCCTTCATGGTGAACTTATCAATTTATTGGATCATTGGGAACACTTCACCAGTCACGTATCCTTTTCATAATACCTTACAAATGTATATAGTTTCTGTTTTCCAAAACACATTTCACATTTCACGTTTGTTACCTTAGTTAAGTCTTACTCTAACTATTGCATGGCCTAAGTTGAGTAGCATGGGTTACTTTTAGTCTTTTACCTTTCCACACTAAGTCCACAGATTTTTAAGAAATAAGAACTGAGGAAATGAGTTTACTTTCTGTAGATTTTAAATTTTCTTAAGTAATAAGTGACCTTTTCCCTAATAAAAATTAAATTTCCTTGCAGATAGAGGTTTCAGTAATATTTGTTGAATGAATGAGGTAGAGGCTTGAGTTTTAATCAATTTTCAGTTATCTATAGTAACAAGGTAGGTATGGTTAACCCATGTAACAAAAGATGGTTTCACACCTTTGGCATCTGATTTTGGAGTGTACCTTTGTACTTATTTGAATATGGGTATGCCTGGTTGCTTCAATATTTCAGTAAAAAAAATGAAATCATGTTGAAGGTCAAATTCAACTGCCCATTTTCACCATTCTTCTTATCTGTTTCTCTTTGCATTTCATTTTGCCCTACTTTTAGGTAAAGGCAAAGTGGATTTCCCCAGATCAGAGATCTAGCTAGGGATTAGTAATGTTTATAAGACCACACTGATTTATATAAATGAGTGACGACTGAGATGTCACAATAAATAATACTAACAATTTTTTTTAAAAGCTTAATAAATATTTTGTGTCATGTATTGTTAGAAGTATTTTATATATTGGCCCATTTCATTCTCACTGCAGCTCTGTGAGATAAAATTGTTAGGGTTTTTTTTGTGGATTTTTGGGTTTTTTTGGTGGGAGTGGGGTTTGAATTCAGGGCTTTACTCTTGAAAAGCAGGCATTCCACCACTTGAGCCACACCTCCAGTCCGTTTTGCTCTGGTTATTTTGGAGATGGGGTCTCTCGGACTGTTTGCCCTCTCTGGCCTTGAACCACAATCCTGCTGATCTCAGCTTCCCAAGTAGCTGGGGTTATGGTCATGAGCCGCTGGTGTCCAGCTAAAATCTTGTCATTTTTATTTTACAGACAAGGAGACAGGCACAGAGGTTAAATAACTCATTTAAGGCCACTCAGCTGAAGAGATGGAGATGTAGCTCAGTGGTAGAGCACTTGCCTAGCATGCACAAGGCCCTGGGTTTGATCCCTAGCACTGCAAAAAAAAAAAAAAAACCACACAGCCAAGAAGTGTGATGCACAGATTTGAACTCATGCAGTCTAGTCCCAGAACTTGTGTCTTATGCTGTCAAATCAAGGCATCTAAGAATGTGTCCTGATTGAAAATATTCATTCATTCAATAAATATTTTATAAACCATTCATTGACTTAATGAATGTTTACATACTAAACATCTATCTGTCAGCCACTGGGGATATGGTAGTGAACCAAATAGAACTCTTGGCCTTCAAAGGCTTATATTCTGGTGAGAAAGACAGACTGTAAACAAGAAAACTTTGAAGTCTACATATGCAGTGTTATGTTAAGTGCCAAGGAGAAGAAATAAAGCGGGAAGCAGACATGAAAAGATTGGGGGCAGGGCTAAGTTGTAGGAAAGGTAGTCAGAAGGCCTTAACGGGAAGGTGACTTTTGAGAAAAGACCTGAAATAAATGAGGTTGCTCCATGCAGACTGGCAGGAAGAACATTCCAGGCAGAGGTGACAGCAGGAAGAAGGGGGGAAGCCTTTGTTGTTGGAGCAGGATGAGAAAGGGAATGAAGTAGACTGAGGGTACCCATGGACCCAGACTTAATGGAGCTTTCATGTAAGAACTGTTGGGGTGAGATGGGAAGCCACTGGAGGGATGTGGCTTTACGCATGTTCTAATAGGAACACTGTAGCCTACAGTGTTGAGAATAGACGGGATTTCTCACCCTCTACTGATGACCTCTTGGGTGGGACAGTGCTTTGCTGTGCAGGCCTGACCTGTACATTGGGATGTTGACCGGCATGTCAGGCCTCTGCCACTAGATATCAGTAGCACCCCCCTCCCCAATTGTGGCAACCAAATATATCTCCAGACATTGCTCACATAGCAAAAGCACCAATAGTTGAGAAAAACTGAACTAAAAGGGGTAAGAGAAACTGTCAGAAGTCCACTGCAGTAGTCTACTTTAGAAATGGCGACAGTGTGTTGCTAGAATGGTAACAGTGGGTTCGTGGAAGTGACTAGATTCTGGAGATATTTCCAAGTAGAGCTAGCAGGTTTTGCTGAGTATTTGGATATGAAGAATGAGAAGGAGCAAGGTTGGCTCATGTGGCTTTTGGCATAACCAAAAAAAGACAGAATAGCTTAATGGAGGTTTGAGAGGGAGATCAGATGCTCAATTTTGGATAAATAGATCCAAATAGGGTTCAAGAACAAGGTCTAAGCTGAAGATATTCTAGAGGCAGTAGTATATAAATGTGGCTAAAAGTGGTGACTGGTTGAAATAACCAAGCACCTGAGCAGAAGAGCTGTCCAAAGATTGAGTCCTGGGGTCCTTCATACTAAGAGTTCAGAGAGGTGAGGGGAATGAGCTGGAAGAAGTCAAGAAGGAACCATCAAGTGGAAGGAAGGAAGAGAGTGGTGGTAAGTCCAAGTAAGGAGAAAGTGTAATCAGTGTCGGTTTTGTTGGCAGGTCAAGGTCAGGGAGACTGGTAATTGGGGTGGAGGTCACTATTGGTTTTGACAGAGCATGTGGGAGATTGGCGCAAAAACCCCATGGGAGCAAAATGACAATTGGAGAGAGGTTTTGGAAATACCAAGTATAGACTACTCTCTTTTTGTTTTTAATTTATAGAGGAATCACTGAAGAATTTGCCTTTCCTTCAGCATAAGCATCTGTAACAGATCACAAACAACTTAAAAGAGAGTCTGAGAAGTAAGAAATTTAAAGCTGAAGTGTTTGAGCCAGTGCACTTGAAATAGCTCATAAGCGAGACTGAGGCATATGGAATTGTGATTATAACACCCATCCTTGGAAAGATCGTGTGTCAGGAGGTCACCTCCATTGGGTGGAGCAAGCGCAAGTACCCCGAACCTAGCCTGTGCTCTCCTCAGGTGCTGTGCTGCCCAGCATGAGTTCCAGGCTGCTGAGTGGGTCTCCAAACAAAAAGAAGCCTAGCTGTGGAGTGGCTCAAGTGATAGAGCGCCTCCCTAGCAAGCATGAGGCCCTGAGGCCAAACCCCAGTACCGCCATAAATAAATAGATAACAGAGGAAGGAGCCTGAGTGTGCGGTCAGACACAGCCAGGTCTGCCACTTCTGTGAGACTGCACATGTGCACAAGCTCTCGGTGTTGCTCTGATCACTTAGGAGGTGAGGGAAATAGGGCTGGGGTATAGAGTGCTTGTCCAGCATGCATGAGGCCCTAGGTTTGGTCTCCAGTGCTGCTAAATAAATGTTAAATAAATAAAAGAAATGAGGGCAGTAATCCTTACCATGTTGGGTTGTTGTGTTTGTGAGAATGTGTCAAGCATCATCAGATGTTTATTACGCAAAAATGCTGCTGTTGGAAACTTTTGTAGCTGACACATCCGGTGCTCACTGTGCTGAAGCTTTGCATCTACGAAGTTATCCTCACAATAACTTCGTGATGTACAAACAGGATTATCCCTCATTTTATAGATGAGGAAACAGGCCTAGTGTGGTAGCTAGTTCTAGTGTTGTTAGCAGGAAAAGTATATAGGCTCATACATCTGAAGGGCAGTAAGGTAACTACTTAAAATATGGCAAGAGAACTATTCTCTTGTGCATGTGTGTGTTCATTTTGTTTTTTATATGAATGATAACTTGGAAAAAACTAACCCAGCAGTGATTAGAATGTGGACTTTGGAGCTGAAGAAAGCCATCTGTTTGAACTCCAACTCTGCCACTTAAAAACTTTATAATCTGGGCAAGTTATTAAAATCTCTGCTCCTCAACAACTGTAACCTCGAGGGGAGAGTGCAGCCATGGTAAATGCTACACTCAGGTAAGGCGGCAGTGGTAGTGTTTGGTGCTCAGCATTTCTCCTCTCCCTTCCCCTAGCCCTAAGCACACTGGCAGGGAAAGTTTACTAGAAATGCCACTCCACTTTATAACCATGAACTCTGGTACAAAGTACCTTCTCTGTGCCTTGCTCTGAAATTTCTTTCCTCACCTTGTGTTGTACCCTCTTTGGAGAGGTCAACGAGAACGCTTGAGGTGGTCTCGTCACTTTCGTGATGTGCGTGGGCTGAGGCCAGCACAGGAGAGTGCAGTATCACCATCTTGTCACTTTTAAATTGCCAGTGCCTACCTGAAGAAACTAAAATTGGCCCAGCTCTTCACTAAAGTTCCTGTTCCTTAGGTGGCGTGGCTGCTATTCAGTCTGTTCCACGCCATTCTTTCCAGCCACAGGAAGCCTTTGCTCTGTGCACGTGAGTGTGCGTGCATGCACGCGTGTGCACGTGCACCTAGTATCTCGCTTGTTACTCTTTTTATCCTTATCTGAAAACCTCAGGTATAACATGTTTGGACACTTCAAGTTCTGCATTACATTATGTGGAGGACACGTTTTATTTAGGGATCCGCTGTCCGTTACCCAGGGTCTTGGCATTTTATGTACACTGTTTGGGATCCTTGCCTATACCCGCTTTAAACTCAGTGAGCAGGAAGGAAGCAAGAGTAAGCTGGCACAGCGTCCCTGAGTTTTTGTGGAGAAAAGAAAGTTGCCCAAGAACATAAGAAATGTTAAGTATATAAAGTACTTTCAAAAAAGAAAAAATACAGTGATTACAAGGAGTAACACAGATTTTATTCTCGTATGACTTTTTTTAGTACCATTTAAAAATTTAATTCTCTAAAACCAAAATGGTTCACACTTCTTTTCAAAGATGATCCGTGAGGCCAGGAATACAGCTTCAGGCCACAGCACCTGCCCAGCATGCAGGATGGAGGAGCTGTATGAAATATATAGGATGGTTTGGGTATACCAAGTAAAGTACATGAAAGTTAAAGGTGTGTAATAATGAGCAAAGGATTTTTATTCCAGCAGTACAGATGTGGGGGGCTTTCTTTCCAGTGATCATGCTCTTGGAACTGATGATTTCCAATGTGACACTTACTATAATTTTGGCCAAAGTGTTTAAGCCGTGCTGGGGAATAAACCCAGGGCCTTACACTTGCTAGGAAAATTATTCCACTGAGCTATACCCCCAGTCCTCAAGGCAGAAATAATATGTAGAATTTCTATTTTAGAGGAGTTAGTTCAATTTCTTGATTATTTTGTTTATAGAAATGAAATGTTTATAGAAAGCAAAATTTATAGAAGATCATAAAACAATCCAATTCTAAAAGTACTACTTTTCTAGTAGAAAAAAATTTTTAAGCAAAGGTGGAATTTCATTTTCTTAGTATTTTTCAAAAGAATGTGGGATTTTACAACTTTTTAAAAAAATTTGTTGCAATTTGTCTTTTTTTTTCCTAGCAGAAAATTGATGTAAGACTCATACAATGCCGGGTGCCAGTGGCTCACATCTATAATCCTAGCTATTCAGGAGGCCAGAGGTTTGAAGCCAGCCTGGGCAAATAGTTCGTGAGACCCTATCTCAAAAAAAAAAAAAATCACAGAAAAGGGCTGGAGAGGTGACTCAAGGTGCAGGTCCTGAGTTCCAGCCTCAGTACCACAAAAAAAAAAAAAAAAAAAGTCGTATGTACACCAGGCACAGGACAGTGGTGCACACCGTGATCTCTACTACTTGGGAGGCTAAGGTGAGAAGCTTGCCTGAGCCCAGGCATTTGAAGCCACCCTGGGCAACCCAGTGAGACCCTGTCTTGAAGAAGAAAGTCATGTAATCCAGAAAAAAACCTTACAGTTTTTTAAATCTTCTCTGCTGTTGGAGCTTTCAGTGAATGTTTGAAAAAATTAGTAACGCCATGTTTAAATGGCTCAAAGAAAAGACCTTAGGGCGGGGGCGTTGCCCAGTAGTGGAGTGTCTGTTGCATGCGAGGCCCTGGGCTCAATCTCTAGCACAAAAGGAGAAAAGAACATTAATACCACAGATGGAAGAGAGCTTCATCACTGCTTTTCTACCTTCTAGTAGTGATTTCTTAATATCATCCCCTCCCCCATGCACATGACATGGCCATGGAGCATTGTGTGGCCTTAAAGGTAATTATGCCCTGCCTTTCCTGCCTTTCTTTTTTGTGGTGCTGGGGTTTGAACCCAGGGCCTCACACTTGCTAGACGGCCGCTCTGCCACCCAGCCACTCCCCCGCCCTGTGCCCTGCCCTCTACTTAACTGAGGTTGAGGTACATTTTTCAGCAAGTAAGCACAATTACTATCGCAACACTAACTACAAACTTGGTGAAAAAATAGCAGAAAAGCCTGAAAAAAGAGTAGAAAACTAGTTAACATTTAACTAGTTCTATGATTTTCTTTTTCCCTCTTTTTTTAAAATGCAATATGGGGGGTTGAATTCAGGGTCTTGTGCTTACTAAGCAGACACTGTGCCACTTTGGCTACACTCCCAGACCTTTTGGCTCTCGTTATTTTTCAGGTAAGGTCTCCTGCTTTTTGGCAAGACAGGCCTGGACCATGATCCTCCTAGTTAAGCTTTCCAAGTGGCTGGGATTACAGGCAGGTACCCCTACACTTCGTTTATTGATTGAGATGAGGTATCCATAATTTTTTTGCCTGGGTTTGCCTCAAACCGAGATCCTCCTGATCTCCACCTCCTGAGTTGCTGGGATCATAGGCATTAGCCACCATGCCTGGTCTAGTTCTATGGTTTTCTAAAGGAATATTTTTTGAAGTATAGAGGAAATACATGATTTCCTAACCTAAGCAAATATAGTACCACATATTTAATTGCAGAAATGTATTTCTGCCTCCCAACATCTTGAATTTTAAACATTAAAAGCAGTTGTTGGTAATCTCACAATAAACTGAGACATGATTCCTCTTGAAATAATTGTTTTTTAAACATTATTTATAAACTTTCAGTGAGAAAGCAACTAAGACAGAGCCATGCTGGTGGAGTGGCTCAAGTGGTAGAGTACCTGCTTAGCAAGTGTAAGGTCCTGAGTTCAGATCCCAATACCACCCAAAAAAAAAGCCACATATATAAACTATGCCTTCAGTAAGTTGATAAATTTTGTTTTATGTGCTTTTTACCACAAGGAAAAAATACACAAGGACGGGGGATGTAGCTCAGAGCTAAAGCACTGGCCCTGCATATACAGGGTCCTGGGTATACTTCCTCGCACTGCAAAAAAAGAAGGGAAGGAAGGGAGGAGGAAGGAAAAAGCAAGCAAGCATTCAGGAACATTTAAGCTGGGTGTGGTTGTGCATGCCTGTAATCCCAGCTTTTAGGAAGCTGAGACAGGACTGTAAGAGTTCACGGTCAGCCTGAACTAATAAGACTGTCTCAAAAAAACAAAAACAAAAACACAGACATTCCTTTTAGATACTTAGGATTTTTTTTTTTCCTGGCCCATTGAAAATAAAAAGCCTCACTGAAAATCTATTTTGAGGAATTTCAATTTGTCAGTCTGTTGTATGATTAGTGTATGTGGTTTTCTGTTTTAAATAGTATTTGGTTCTCAGTTTACAAAGATATATTTTTTTGTGCTAATAAGTGCAGAGCTTTGTCTTTACCACAGGAACCTCAGATATTGTATCTGTTTAAGAACCATTTTCTATGTGTGTTTAAATTAACATAATTATCTCCCAAAGGCTGGAGAAATGTATTTCAGCACAGTAATTATTTGATTTCTGTACACTAAGAACAGCCAAATTGATTTGTGCCATGTACATACTGTTAACTATAAGTAAAACTTGGGGCTGGAGGTGGTTAGAATTAGGGCAGGGGATATGTTAATAGGAATGCAGTGACAGCGTTGGAGTAAGACAGATGAGGGTGTACTGCCAGGACTGCAGTCTGATGTGCGTGTTTTGCCCTGAAGACAATCATCAAATGGAAAAGAAAATTCCTGGGAAAAAATACACCAGATGACCGGGCAGGACCAAGCACAGAGAAACCAGACCCAGTGCTCTGGAAGAAAACATGCTGTCCTTTTGTTGCCAATGTAACTGGACTTATTTTTTAAATCCTATTAAAAGACTGAAATTTGCCTGTTAAGAATAAAGAAGACCTCGTTTCCACTTTTGTCCTGCATCTTAGAGCCAGTGGAAGCGCAGCTTCTGTGTGTATCTACTGGTTCAGCTGCTCTCCTCAGTTCCCAGATCGGCAGACACTAATGAAACAAAAGTTTGTCTCCCTTTTAAAGTAACGTGAAGGGCTGCTAGGGTGGAGTGGCTCAAGTGGCACAGTGCCTGCCAAGCAAGCATGAGTCCCTGAGATCAAGCCCAGTTCCACCAAAGAAGTAAAATAATGTGAAGGTGAAATCTTTCTCTCTGAAATGCAGCAAGCTTTCCTGTGTCTTTCTTTTGATGGCCATAATGGAGTTTGAACTCTAAGCCTCACACTTGCTAGGCAGACACACTATTACTTGAGCTATGGTTCCCAGCCCTAAATGTTTAATTTTTAAGGCACCCATAAGAGTTTATTTTTCCTTTTAAAATCAAATGATCTGTGTCAACCACGTCTTCCTTTTCCTTTTCCTGTTTGTCCTCTTCCCCCAAGTCAGTTTCCTATTTTCCCAATTCCCCTTTTCTCAGTTTAAAATCAGGCCTACATTTGGTGCAGGAGGGGACAGGTGGGCCACACAGAATAGCTGGGAGACAGCCAGAATACTAAGGCCATCTACTGGGATCTCCACAACCAGGACTTCCTACAGGAGTGGTCAGGTTCTCTAAGCCTCTGCCTGGAATTTAAAAGCAAGACCCACCTTTTTGGACTGAAGTTCTTAAGGGAATTATGGAGGGACTCACTGACCATATTTGTAAGAATCAAAATGTTCTATACAGTTTAACCAGAAAACCACAGGGAAAGAAAGACAAAAATACTGCAAGACACAGGTGCTTTTCCAACCAAATACACACTCCTGTTTACTCGCCTCCACTCTAGAAGCTACAATGCTATATTCTGTTTATGCTTTTTGCCTTGTAGTTTAGGGGTGGTCATGTAACATCTCACCAGTAACACACAATTGAAAATCTATAAAGATTTCTAGGGAAGCATTTGCTTTCCTGATTAAAGAGATGGGTGTGGCTGGTACTGCCTACTCCTGTTCCACCAGATTGAATTCAACGTGGATTCTAAGATTGTGCTGACTGGCTTATGACTGTACAGGAGCCGTGAAGAGAACCTGGTGAGAAGTGCTAAGCTGCTGAAAGGATGTCATCAAATGCGTCTTCAGGCTTTCTGTTTTAGGTGAAAAGTAAACCCCTACTTGGTTAGGGCAGTTTTACTTGCAGCCATGCCTACGAGCATCTTATATAAAAAAGGGCCAGCATGGAGAACTTCCTGTGTTAGACTTTAGAACCAGGAAGGAACAACTAAATGTAGCTGGTCCAAATAGACTTGAAGGTAGCCTGATCCCAGCCATTCTTCCATCCATACAGCACCAAACCCTGAGGGCTAGGTGGGTAAGGGAAAGGGCGGTCAGGTGGCCATCTGGGCTCACAGATGGAATCTAGCATAGCTATTGCTGGTCTTTGGTGATAAACTAGTTCCAACCAAATAAGGTGGCCTACTTTGTCCTCTGCCACCCTTTGTATTCCCTAACTTTGGTCATCCTCAATTCCCAACACTCCCCTTGTCACAGCCATAGTCTCGCATCTTCAGTCACCCTTTATCCCGGACTTTCCCTATTTTGCTTCAAGTTCAGTCAATAGACCAAGAAAACACTATCACCGGTGATTGAAAGGTCATGCTGAAGTCCTGGAACTGGGCATCAATGTAGAAGTTCAGTATGAGGAGCTAGGAGAAACCCACTCTAATAACCTTCCAGGATTTCCATAAGACCGCGGGCTACAGCTGGACTAGGTGTGCCTCCCAGTGTCCTCTGTAGGGATCCAGCCATCTTGAATCACCGCTGCCATAACTGCGAGTTATCCTGGTCCCTCCAGCCCCTGCATAGTTTCCCAGTATAGGCAAACAAAACCATTAAAGTGGTACATTTATGACCACAAGGATCAGCACCAGAGATGGGCCTGAGGTCACTGATGTTGGCTAAAGATAAACCAAGTAGTTCTGGCTTGGTTAAAGTCACTTTTGTCCTGTCTACTGTATAAGCTCTCCCTCTGACCTACATCTCAGGGAGCCACTGTTCGTGCTGGCACCATTGAGCACACTTCTGTCGGTATCCTTAATAAACTACACTGTGGAGTCCTGGATGTTCCTCTCGGGCTGGTTCTGTACTGGGACCAAGTTCTTCCAGAACACTTAGGTGTTCTGGAACCATAGCACTGTGGACATGGGGAAGAAATTGTGGTCAGGGGATCATGGAGTGGCTGGAGAATT